GATTCGTTTACCCCCTTCTTTTCTTCTTGCTGTGAAAATGGTCGGTATGTTTGGAGCTGCAGCAGCCATTTTGTGACAATGAGATACAGAGCATAAGAAAGAAAACCAAAACACTCCAGGACAATGGAGCCGAAAAACAGAAAGAGTCCAGGTCCTGCCAAATTAGTCAAGGAATCCGACCTACAGAGCCCAGTTTTTAAAGCCACTATTAGTCGAGTTTTCTGTCACTTGCCACTGACCTCGTTTCCAACCGATACCCCAAGTACTGATAAATGTCCAGAGATAAGGTCTTGGTTACACTAGCTAGGAGGAGGTATTTGGAGTGACTCACAGCTCAGTGATTTGTGACCGAAATGAACAATCTTGAGGCTTAGCTCCCTCGTCACCCCGATTGCAAAAGGTGGATAGTTTGGTGAAAGCTACAATAGCAACGAAGAGAATGAGATTTCTCAAGGTCACCAAAAGGAAGAAATAGAAACACTACTCGTTCAGTAAGCACCCATCGGGTAGCAGGCCTTCCTGCACACTGGCTCCTGCGCTTACAAAATTAACCCAAGTATCTGGAGCACACACACGGTTTTCACTCACCCCTTCTCAAATGAGACACACTTCGTGTTCCAAAGATGGTGATAAACTTCTCTTCATCCGTTCCCCATTTAAGCTCTCCAGCTTGAAACAAAGTCTGTGAAGATTTCAACCACAATTAATAAACGGCTCCTCCACCTCACCTCCAGGCTCTTAATCACCCTTATGTGTTATTCCCTGAATATTAATTCACCTGATCCCTCGTCCTCTGCTTGTGGGTTCTAACGTTCCTCTCAGCAGTGAGCTGAGGTTGGAGCTACCTCGCAGCTTGCCAGAGCTGTGCCACAGAAAACCGCTGGGGCAGAGCAAAGACGCACAGCACTGGCAGAGGTTAAACGTCCCCAAAACATCTGCCCAGAGCCCCAGGCTTTCAAGAGGATGGTGCGGTCAGGGTGGGCAGAGTTCTGCTGAGCTCTCTGCTGACGCGCCCACCTACCGGCTGGGGAGGAAACGCCAGGAGCTGAGCTGTCTCCCTTTTCTGTTTTGCTCGCTCAGTCATGCTCGGTAACACCGGGTGCCAAGTAATTCCATATTTTCTCTTTACAAATGAAAGCCAGCTTAACCAAAGCTAGCCGCAAAAAGTCTTCACATTTCTAAAAGATCACAGTGAAGTTTTAAAAGGTTGTGGGTGCAGGATAGGGCCTGGCACTTAACATTTCCTTGTTGAATAGTTTCAGTTCCATATTTACTTTTTTACATGGAAAGAATATATGCTTTCCAGTGTTCATATAGTTGCTGAAAAAAATTTTTTTACAAACATCGTCATTAAATCTGAGTCTACTTACTGAGGTGCAGATAATTTATCAATACCCAAAGAATCAATAAAATGCCTGTACTACCCTTTTAGTTACTCATTTCAAGGTAAGTAAATCTGTTAAGCCAAAATGAATACAATTTGCTGAGAATGCTACTTAAAGCTGCCCACACCCCACAGGTGGCAAACCAAATAAGGACAGGAAGTAACTCCAGCATGTGTTTGGATGTGAAAATTTTAATCCCAGTATGTTTAAGAATATAAATTATGGTGGTATAGATGTATTTTTTTAATTATATCTCCAGAGAATAAAAAATGGAATTACATCTTTACACTCAATGTTGAAATTAATTCATCTTAATGACACAAACAATATAACCCTGTTCACGTAAGCATGCTCTTCAAAACTGGGGAGAGAATAACATATGTTCATTGAGAAATCTTGTAAAACAGAGAAAAATGTAAATAACAAAAAACGACCGCGAGTCCCCATGTCCTTTAGATCCGGCTTTCTAGCCCGTATGCCTTCCCATGTAGGTGACACACGCTTACCACCCACGGGGGCTCTCCCTGTACGACAAGCACTGCAGGGCGGCTGGGGCCCTCCCGCCTGCCTCCCCAGCGGTCCTGGGTGTCCAGGAATTTCTCCCACAGGTATAGCGGTTGCCTGCTGTATGGGGATGACTGGTGAAATGGCTCTTTTAACGATCATCTCCTGACTTTCTCGGAAGAATTACGTTTGGGATCAATTCTAAAACTTGTTCAGTAAATCCCATGCAGTATAATGACGGCATCTTCAGGGACAGCGAAGACACCTGTTTGTTTGTCCTGCTTTTACACGAGGGCCCTTTCCTCTACATGAGGACACCCGTGTCCGTGGAGCTGTCTGGACGGGGGACGTCACCCCCCAACACACACCACCCCAAGGGGCTTTGCAGTCTGCCCTGAGCAGCTTGGTAACCTCTGGTTCACTGCGAAGTACAGAGGTTCTGGACTCAGGCAGGTCTTGGTCCTCGTCCTCATCTGCGAGTCTTAGAGGAGGCACTTCACCTCCTCTCCAGACCCAGCGTCCTGACTTACAGAGCGGGCACGACATTTCTAGTGCGTCGCTGATGGAGGCTACGCCTTACGAGTGCATTGAACAGTGTCAGCTAACCACTGGCAGGTGCTCAGTAAACACGACCCCCTTTCTCCGCCCACTTCCCTTCTCCCCCCAGAGCGCAAACTTCTCCCCGGGAAAGCCTAAGACAAGGACATGGTGGGGAGGTGAAATCAGCCTGACACCCTCATAACGTAAGAAGTGAAGTGGGCCAGCTACAGGACGTTCAGCCCCAGGAGGCTTATCAAGTCCTGGAATGACAGGAAGCCGAGTGCCAGGTATCAGCAGAGAAAAAACGGAAAAGCTTATGAAAGGGCCCTTCAGTCGTCCGCACTTACTCTCAATTACGAAATCGTCAATTCCCGTTAGTGATAACAGCCCAGCTGCCCTTGCCACAGGTATAAATGGGTGTGTTCCTTTTTCTAAGGCTGAAAGAATCATTGCTTCCAGCCGGCTGAAATTAATAACAACACGTTTAAAAATCAAAGGCTAATGGCCAGTGTGGCATGCAGGTCACTCCTGGTCACCGAGAGGGTAAGGAAAGTCTGGACTCCTAAGGCAGGGATCAGATGCAGTTTCCCCTTCAGGGGTCTGGAGGGTCACACCCCCTGCATGACAGCTAAGTGACACCAATACGGCCTCCCCAGGTACTCAGTGTGGTCCCAGGACCCCATGGCATCACCCACTGAGGGCTGTGAGCAAAGTGGAATGGGGCCCCGCCCCAACTGAGGCAGGACCTGCCGCGGAGCGAGGTCCCGGGCGGTGAGTCTGAGGAGCACGGTCCTGCAGCGAGGGCTCTGAGCAGGGAGGTCATTGGAAACAGGTGAGCACGAGGTGTCCACCAGCCCCTTCCCACTGAGCCTCGCCTCAGCCCGCTAACGGCCCTCGGCAGCCACCTGAGGACACAGGGCTGGCCCTTGGAAAGCGTCCAGGAGTCCTGCCCACTGAGAGCAGGTGCGAGTGTCAGCCTGTGCCCACCGAGCACACAGCCCTCAGTGCCTGGCAAGCACGGTGGTCTCGGCATGAGCGAGGCCCTACAGCTGGGACGGGGGTTTGTGGGGCTGCTCCGGCCCCCTCCCCTCCCGCGGGGAGTTGAGCTGAACGCGTGCTTCCCATCAGTATTAATCAGCCCTCCTTCCCGCAGAGGATGCGGAGACTGTCATATAGTGAAAGGCACGAGGCTGCACAGGCCCAGCTGGGAATCCACTGCTATCGGGGGGCCATGGGCTTGTTTCTCAAGTCTCTGAGCCTCAGATTCCTTATCTATGAAAGGGAAACTGTCCCCTGTACTGTAATCACGCACGGATTCACCCATCAGTTACATACTGAGTACCCACTCCATGCCAGGAGCTGAGGATGCAAACTGGACTGACAGCTCACAGGGCCCTGGGCAGGCAGTTGGGTAAACGGAGATTTGGGACTGGTGAGGAGGACAGTGACACACCTGTGCAAGCACACAGTCTTCCCCGGAAGGGGCACTTGGGGGGTCAGGCAGGGCTTCCTGAGAAGTAGCTAACCTGAGGACTGACCCTTGAAGAAGAATCTATAGGGTGAATAGGGTGGAAGGGATGGCAGGAGAAAGAGAGGCACAGGAGAGACAGGCTGGAGTTAAGAAAGCAAGAGACAGGTAACGGAGAGGTCATGAGCCACATTGAGGGGCCTGGATGTCAGCCTGAGGAGAGTGGGAGCCACCAAAGCATTTCAGGGTTTTCAGCAGGGACGTGACACAACACGTTCACATTTTATAAGGGACAGTGAGGCAGGCGTCACACTGCACAGACAGCCCTCAGGAGACATCGTTCCCTTTCCCATCTCTCCAGCCAGGCAGAGATGGCAGCATCCCCCAGCCACTGGGAAAGCAGCCAGCCCAGAAGAATCACACTGCTCCCCTCTCTCCTGTTAGCAGAAGGGTCACACATGCAGCGGCCGCTTTACAGAGAAGTCAGTAGGACGGGCACGTGGCTCTTCCTTGTCCACTGGTGCGTGACGGACAATCAGACTGTGTATTTTATTTCCTGACATGTGACCAGGGAGGCAGAACTGCCGTAAGTGATTCGAGGAACCCAAGTCATCCCTGTATTGCCAGTTTCCGGTTCTCAAGTCTACTGTCGCAAGTTCCCTCACACTTATTTCTATATCTGACGATGCTGTAAACCACACAGAGGCTACAGTAGGGTTTAAACACTTACATGCAATTTTCATTTGGAACTCACTAAAAATCAGCCAACAAAAAGAGCAATCCTACTTAGAATTCTCTGAAAGGAAAGGTGAAGGGATTTCCAAATACTACCACAATTTGTCATCTATTATATAATAAAACACCACATATCACTAAAACACTTTATTCTTTACCCTCTCCTGCCCAGAGACCTACTGCCTCTTTGGCAGAGGGTTTAATAACACCTGCGTTCTCTTGGAAAATTCTCTATTTTATGAATGTTCCATAATCACACATATAAAAACTAAGGTATCTAGGTGAGACTCACAATTTATGTAATCTGTTTCATTTCAGCTTTGGATAAAATATTTTGTTGGCCAGATCAAAATGAGAGGCCTCTACTTACATGGGTCTCATGATTTGTCAGGGACCCACAAATAAGATCATTGTAGAGGCTATTCCGCATACATTAGGACTCTTTATTCCCATGGGCTCTTCTTCATTTACATGTCATAACAAGGGCATCACATATGAGGCCTCGCTCACCTGGGCATCCTGTTCCACCTGAGCTTCATCAATTGCCGTGCTGGGGTCTCTATTGGCCTATAAGAGATAACACGTCATCTTACTGAATTACATGAGCATTTTCATGCAGAAGGAAAAATGGTTCCACCTGAGGGTTATGCACATAAAGCTTTTTCTCTTAAAAATCACAGGCTTTGATTAAGATCACATCAGTCCTACAATATTCCACATTATCACACAGCACTGTCCGAAACCAATCTGACCCTCTTGACTCTGAATTCTAAAATAGGACAGTGAAATCTGAAAAAACTGTGAGTTAGCTGTGAAGAGTTCCGGTCAGATCTTCTGAAACACAAACACACGCAGGCACCACACAGACACAAGGAAGCAAGCACCAGAAACGATGGAAAGAATTTTAAGTGACCGTGCTTAACCAGATTCAGACCGGTCTAGTTTCACATTTTTTAATCAGCCTGGAAACAGTCTCCACCCAGTACCTGAAGGAGAACCACCAGCATCCTCTGGTAGTACCCCGAGGTGTCCCCCACCACATCGTCTTCCAGGCTGGAGCCGTACTCTGCAATAGAAGAATGGCACACTTATCTACAGCGTCTCCCAACCAGGGAAAGAAGTCCTGCCCCATTAACCAGGTGGAGGAGACACACAGGAAGACATATCTGATTAGCACAAATGTTCCATTCTCCATCTCTGAGTGCTCGAAAGACGAAAGGCATTGCTCTAAGTGAGCGGCTGGAGGAAAACAAATTAGTCTCCCGTAAGCACTGGGCTCCAGCCTACATCATGACGCCGCCTTTCAGAAATGCTCAACCAATGTAGTTACTAATCTGTAGACACACAAGGCACTTTGTCGTGTTTTCTTTCCAATGGTTTACGATTGTCTGCCATCATCTGAGTTTCCTTTCTTTGGGCACGGCCACTCCTTCCCCTAGTAAGAAATTTTTCCTCTGCGGCCAATAAAGTTAACTCTGGGAGACAGCAGTGGTATTTTAAAATATGCCCCTTCCCACCTCTGTTTCTAACTATTCAATATGAGACCACAGGAAGGGGACAGCCGGACCAGAGGAGTCTGTCTACAGCCCCTTTCACTCTTGGACAGCTGCCGTTGAAGGAAGGGGGTAATACCCTAAGGCACTCAAATATTTCATCATTCTTTGAAAGCAGACAAACTTTAAAACCTGAAACTTCTATTTTAAAAGGTCCACAAAACTTACATGTTTATTTCAATCAGTTACCCAAATACAAAGCCTTGAAGGAATCTTTTACTCCTTCTCTACTCCAGCACCATCTATAATTAAACATCCAGTCCTTTTAAACACTTCTTCCCTCTGATTTATTGCCCGCACACTCCCACCACCCAGGCTGGGCCGGAGCGTCCCTCCCCCACACAGCCGCCTAACCAGCCTCCCGATGCAAACCTCCTCCTTCCCTGCATTGTTCCCGCAGGACTCCACTCCCACTCGGGAGCTGCCCGTGCCCTTGGCTCAAGTCCAAACTTGGACTCCAATCACAGGACACCCTCCGTGACAGCCTAAGTGCTTCTTCGTCGCCACAGTGGACATGAACATCTCCTCCACTACGTCTGCTTCTCTGCTCCCTCAGCACACTTTTCTCAGTGCGGCTGTCATCACACTGCAGACAGTGGGTGACCCAACCTACCTCTTCACCTCCCACACCCACCTCTCGTCACAGACCCGACTCGCTCTGACGGCACCACACAGCCGCTCCTGTCCATCCAATGCTGTGATGGCCTCTCTTCCTGAATGAACTCTTCCACTGAGTATTTCTGGTGTTTGACTAGAGTTTGAATTTTACTGCCCTTTAACTACTGACGTTTTTCTAAGTCATGTCACCCCTAAATAGACTGCAGCTTATAAATACTAAATAGTTGTGCATGTATTATAGTAAAAGGTGGTCATTTCCCTACTGAAGGAGAGAACTGGCTTGGAGTACTGCTTCTTACCCATCCCCACATTCATTCATCCTGCAGTCCCCTGTGGCCTGCCTCCTGGAACTGCGAAGACCTGCACTGACTTGAGAGAAACGAAAAAGCGACAGCGGAGACGAAGGAAACCCAATTAGAAACACGTACCTTCTTCATAAACTTGCTTTATGGCTGTCAGCTCTTCAGGGGTCCTCGAAGCAATAATTTCTGTCAGTACTTTTTCATTTGTCCCTGCTCCCTATGTGATTTATTTTTAACAGAAAAAAAAAAAACATGTCAATGAGATTAAAAAGAAAGTGCTTTTCCTAGAATAGATGTTACCCAAATTGCATAATTATAGAAATAGTATCCAACATAACATTCATTTCTTTGTATATGAGTTCTATTAGTTAAAGAAATAAGGAATTTCAAACTAATTTTCTTTCCAAAAGCAATTTTATCCCTTTCTGTCTAATGAAAAACAATGTTTACTGCATGTATGAGTGTATACATAATAGATTATGTAAATTTGCAATTTTATCAGTTTGATTCTAAATAGCTTAAAAGTAAAACATTTTAATGAAACATAAAATTAAAAAAAGGGGTGAAATAGAAAAAATTTAAACTTCACATAGATTTACATGGAGGAGCACTGATACTTACGCACTCTGTACCTCAAAACATAAACCTCTGCCCCCAAATTAACTGTTCTGTGATCCACAGGCAGCAGCAGAGGGTACAATAAATATAGCATTGCTTAGTTATTAGGAATTGAATCAGCAAAAGGAACTGGGATGCGCTTTTTGGATTTTTGGAAAATAATTTTAGTCAGTTTTCCTTTTCCTGATTATATCAATACTGCTAAATTAGGAGATACAAGCAACGATAGAGCTGAACTTAATTTCAAAGCCTTGTTTTCTTTGTATTTCTGTTTCTTACCAAAAATCAAGCACTGAAAAACACCTAAGTTTATGGTCTGGCAGAATTTCAGCTACTACTAACATTTCAGAAGCACTTCCCAAAAACGCCCTTTTGTTCAATAAGGTGAGATGTTTATTTCAAAAGAATCGTTGCAGGAAAATGAAGAAAATAAGCACAGAGAGGCTCCTAAGTTGATAAACCTCCTTTTCCTTCCACTCCTCAGAATCCCTGAGCCACAACCTCCTTGTTGTCAAATTTGTTTCCTCTTGCCTTCACAATCTAACCGCTTATGATTTGTTTCCTGTCCCATGAGTCAGAACCAATGTTCCAATTGAGTCACATTTACACAATATTCCAAACAGTAGTCATGGGAATACACATTCAGTTATCTGCTACAGTGCAATTACAACAAGTTTACCAGCTACTTTATTTTAGTTTAGAAGTAAAGAAGGAAAGGTGTAGTATAAGAACACCTTATCTGAAAATTCTCTCTGAAGCTTTTTTTTAACCTAAAATGATTAACAATATCCTTGTTCCCTAATCAGCCAACTTGCTATTTTAAAAGATACAATACGTAACCTGTAACATTTTTAAAAACAATCACAAAAGTAGGCCTGAAAACAAAATATAAAAGTCTGTAGTAAAAGCATTAAAATTTAATGTAGCCACTATTATTGAGTTAACTATGCAAAAGATTAAATGATACACTTGTAATTTTCTCCCTCCTTTTCTTCTTATTGCCTCCTACAGTTTTGTTCTCCAAGAAACCCTCACTGAAATCATGCAAATAAGTTTAACATAAAAAACGAGGTGACGTAATGACCAACACGAACGGCATCACGTGAGGAACGCTCCTCGACCTCCTTTACCTTTAGGGCGTGCTTCAGTTCGTAGGCGTCATAAAGCCAAGAGGGCTTCATCAGAGCCACGATCAGTTTTTCAAATTTTCCAGTCAGTTCTGACTTCAGGTCGTCCAGGAGGTCCTAAGCCACAGAAAACACCATTTGTTAGAGCCACGCTCCTCTTAAATATGAACGACAGCCTCTGCCCTGATGAATTCCTTTATGTTGCCATCTCCAAGGAGAAGTGAGGCACATGAGTGAAACGAACCCTAAAACTCTGAGTAACGTGCTTCCGACACCCAACCTAAAGCTTAAGTAAAGCAAAGCCACTTATGTGTCAAGGTAGTTGTTTTCAAGAGATGTTTTTCTTAACTTCAAGAGTTAAAAAAAATATATACTTTGAATACTAAACAAAATAACTTTGACTACTTTAAAAGTAAGCTAAAAATATTCTGTTTTTAAAATACCCTTTTGAGAAAGATGTTATAGCTTAAAAAAAAATTCTGCCAAAAATAATCATAAATGCCTTTTTACAAAACAAAACTTGGCTTATCGTACCTAAACAAAACAAATGTTTCTCTCCTTTCAATATCTAACAATATTCTAACACGTAATGGGTTACATTCATTACTGTGTTCCTGCCTACCGAGCGGCAATGGCACCATGGGGAATCTGCATATAATTATGAAAACAAAAGCAGTGTTCCCATCCATTTCAGTTTCGACACACCAGACAACTCGAAATTGTTTCTTTTTCTTGCTTTGCATTTGTTTCACAATTAAATGATGAACAAAATTTTTCACAATAAAACTACATTTAAGTTTTTCATGTATGCATTATCATTTAGTAACAAATTTAATTTTTACTTTGAATTGTCCAGACTCATTTACTAAAATACCATTCCAAAAGGAACCAAGACTGTGACTGTCACAACAAAACACTGTTACACAGGTGGCACCTAGAAAGTAGACACTGAACTCATCCTGGGTGGGAACACAGAAGCGGGCAGTTCTCACCACGGGGTCTTCGGGCGTCCCCAGCGTCATGAAAGGAAAAAGCGGTTATGTGAGGACAAGTTGGGTGAGCATGACATACCAAAGGCTGGTAATTAAGAAGCTGGAAAGGAAGAAAGGAGTAGGAAAGTCAGAGTCGCTAAAAAATGATGTTTACAAAGGGATGTTTGTCGATTCCAAACCAGCCTCACACACACAGCTGCTCTCCGCCTCCCCTGGGATGGAGCGCGCTCTTACCCGGCCGTAGAGCGTCTTAAAAGCCTCGGCGATTTCCTGGCGCTGAGGGTTGCTGCGGGATGTCAGCAGGGTCAGGATGCTCTCCTCATCCGTACCTGCAATTTGTGTTCAACAATTACATCTGGGCTCCCACGCACCTGCTCTGTCACCTTTGTCCCCGGCTCCCAGTCACCTTAATTCCTTATGTCATAAACTATCATATTACATCATCTATTAAACTATAAAATTTACAATACATAAAATGTTGTATTTCCAATGTATACTGCCCCCTATTCCTGACGCACTGTGAAGCTAGTGGGAAAAGACTGCTGACTGTTTAAAAACTTGGTGCACCTGGTTTTTCTTGAAACAAATAGTTACTCAAGTGATGGCTATTCGCAAGGCCCAGTGTGCTGGGCATTCCAGGGCCTGAGAGAGGAGAGAGATGTAGACCCTGGTTTCAAGTTACAGACAATTTAGGGTAAAAATACAGGAACTGTGAGTGGAGGCAGAATGGAACGTGCCCAGGAGAGGTCCAGGTGTTCAAGAGAATTCAAAGGAGGTTCTCTGAGCCCACAGGAGCTGGAAGGAAGTTTGGGGAACGCTTTATGGACACGGTGACAACCAAACAGTGTGGAAGGACGGAAGGGTTCTGACAGGCTGTGGTACGAAGGAGAAGGGTGAGCTTTCAGAATGAGAGCAAAGTTCAGCAGCAGCGAAAAATGGGCAGATAACCGGCCCGGCACAGCTGGCCAGAGAGCACGGGCAGCAGCGTGAGAGGAGGCAGCCGGCGAGGAGGGCTGGGGCCCGGGGACCTCGCAGGAGTCGGCACACAGCTGGGGGTCGCTCTCAGGACCGTCCGCTTCCCTCCTCGGTCAGCGCCCACACAGCTAAGGCTGAAAGGCTACATGGCAACGAGGCTGAGCTGACGCCTGTTCAGGTGTGGACACTGCATCCCAGGGATGGTCAGACACTGTACATTTCCTCTTCCTACACACCAGATCAAAACATTCTAAAACTAATCTTGCTGGAAATCAGTGGCTGTGTTTTGGAAACCCCCGTCGCTCTGCTGCAGAACACGGAGGGGCTGAACTCACCCAGGCCTTTCATGGCCTTCCGCAGAGCTTCCGCGTCAGCCTGCGCATCAAACCCGGGGTAGTCGGTGACAGTGCCTCTGAGAACCTGAGGGGGACACACAGTGCATTACGGACAGCACAACCAGGACAACAGCACACAGCATAAACAGCAGCACCATGCCCAGTTCATACATACATTTGCCATCTGATGAGCTGTGTCACCCCATTTGAAAGGGGAAGTGGACCACTGACGGCGCCACTAAGCAGGACCAGTTCAGCGCACAAGCCATCAGGGCCCAACTGCAAACCGTGACTGGGGAGGCTGCTCCCAGGCCTCTTGCTTGGGCATCGCCCCCGGGGAGCCCCACCAGCACCCTGGATTCACTCCCCGCAGGCTTCTTTCCCAGTAAGCCCCTCCCCACTGTGATCTGGGGGCCTCAGCGCCTGCATTAAAGCTGGAAGCCCCACCCAGGCACTCAGCTCTGAGCGATGCTCTTAGGACGTAAGTTTTCCCCCAGGCCTGTTTCTTTATCCTTATGAGGGATGTTAAGATGACCCCCTTTAAGATAACCCTGAAAAGATACTTGGTAATTCATGTGCCAGAAGAATACAGATCTTTGAATTTAGAACTTCATAAAGGTATACCGGAAAACATTCTTTGTAAGATTTCCTGCTACATATTATTTTTTAATATATACAGTGCTTGCAATCATCAATAAATTTTAATGTTTCCCCCAAAAGAGTCTGTAATACCATTAGATATTTATTTAGCATCAGAACTTGATTGAGTCACAACTTTATCTTATGATAAAGGGAGGCTCCCAGCGTTCGCTTTTACCAAGAAATGTTTTTGAAGTACCTCAGAACTCCTGCTAAGCTCCCATCTAAAACTGAAAAATAAACAGCTCTGAGGGGGAGAGGCCGGCTTACAGTCATATGTGCTTTACGATGAATGCATGGAAGCACGCTCACCGGCGAAGAAAGAAATTTCTCTTCCACCTCCACCTCCAATTGCTGCATTTGCAACAATATCATAACACCAACCAAATAAAAACGATGACAAGCAAGACAGCCGCGGGGAAGAACTTCCACGGGCACAGTTCCAAAGGTCAGCCCGGTGACCTTCTCTCACGCCTTCAGGAAAGCAGCAGTCGTGGATCCAGCAGAACAGGCTCCCTCCTTGACCAAACTTAGGCAGGCTCCTGACCCTCTTTACAGAGGCCTGGTCCTCTGCCGGCCTACCCCAGTTGTAGCAAGAATCCTGCTCCATCAGCTTAGGGGGAACCCCCAGCCCTGACATCTGTTCAGCTTCCTCACCCCCGTCTTTGATGTGTAGTCTGTGGGCTGCCTTTAGCAAGAACCGCCACGCCCTTGAAACCTCCTCTTAGTAACTTTCCGTCCACAGACACCCTCGCCCTGCTCACTGGCTATAAATCCCCAGTTGCTTTTGCTATATTTGGACTTGAACCCATCTCTGTCCCCTGTTGCAACAGACTTGAATAAAGTCTTCCTCACCATTTTGACAAGGGTCAGAATAATTATTTTCTTTAACAGTTCTTCTTTCCTCTGAACAACAGAGTCCCCACGAGAGAACCTGCAGTGTTGTGAGCAAGAGCCCAAAGAGCACAGTCCCGGGGAGACGGGTGCTTCCCAGGGCGGCCTCCCGGCCCCATGGTGCCAACCTCTGTCCCCGAGCCAAACAAAAAGGATTGTAGCCAAGGAAAGGGGCGGAGCCTTGCTCCCACTCATCTCACGGGGCGGGGGGCGGGGGGGGGGTCATGAACTCAGCCCAAGCTCTTCATTCTATCAGGTGGGAACCCACCCACACCAGGCTTGTCTCCACTTCTACCCTGTCTAAAAGCACACAGACAGGGCCAGCCAAGTGACACACTGGTTGGCTTGGGACACCAGCTCTGAGCATCAGGGCCCCGGTTCGGATCCCACATGAGGGCCAGTGACACTGCCCTCTACAGCTAAGATGGTGAACAACAGCTAGACCTGGAGCTGGGTTGCCATGAGTCGCCGGCGACGACGTAGGCTGCAGTAAAACTGCAGTGGGTTGCCATGAGCTACCTTGAGTGGCCAGCAGCCTGCGTGAGCAGCCAGCAGCTAGTGTGAGCTGCCAAGAGCCACTGTGAGTGGCCGTCCAACGGCCGGCGACCGATCTGTCTTACCCGGGAAGAGCGCAATGATAATACCAACATGGACCAGTGAAGCGACGTCCTCCACAACTAGACTGAAGAACAAAAGGATAGCAACTTGTCTGTTCTCCTTCCCCAATTCCCCAATAAAATCTTTAAATAAATAAATAAATAAATAAATAAATAAAAGCACAGATGCAAAAAGACAATAACTTCCCTTCTAGTAGTTCTATAGCTTGAGCCACGTGAAACTGGAGGACTGAACACTGGTAGTTTCACATGGTTCTACAGAAGAGGAGTAATAGCTTGGGAGGTAAATTGGTGAGATTTGAGAAGATGGCCCATCACAGCTGGCACGGTGGGAAAGTTCGATCAGGACAAACTGCAATTCCCCTCTGTTCGGTGGGACGACTTCAAATCTGTTATGAAGACACCGTGAATATCACTGTGAAAACGAATCAACACCACGGGCTCTCTCAATGCGAGAACCGAGTCTGGCGGTGGCTTAGTTCAGCTGTCTGCTTACCCATTCACTCAACAACCATTGTCTGCATGCCTCCACGTGCCTGGTATGGTACTGGTCACTAGGAAAAAGTCACAATCTCTGAAGTCAGGGGAAAGTGACAGGCACGTAAAAAATGAAGTGCAGCGGAGTACACACCGAGGTTTCCCCAGGGTGATGTGGAAAAATTGGAAAAACCTCCCCCAATGTCTCGAAAGCTGCCTGTGATTTGGCAGGCAGGCTCAGGACGCAGAGAAGGGCAGGAAGGTGCCCAGCACGCACAGACGAGTGGAGAATGGAACAAACAATCTGCTGAAGGGCTAAATGTACAACAGGCTGGAACGAGTGGTGCTGTTAGATAAAGAACCAACCAGAGAAGGTCACAGGGGCGCGGGGGGGCTGGAAAGTCATGCTGGGAGGTGCCGACTTCATCCTATCGGCAAGGGGAAGAAGTCCTCAGAGGACATTACGCCTGAAGAACAGTGTCAACTCTGCACAGCCGTGTTACCACGGCAGCAAGGGGACAGCGGAACGGACTACACAAGAGTGGAGACAGGAAGACTGCTTAAAACTGTGAACACAGGAAGATAAGAGGACCTTTAAGTGAGGAGCAGCAGAAATGGAAAGGCAAAGAGAGACAGAACGGGGCGGGGCCGGGGCAGGAGAAACCACTTAGGAGGATGCCTTTTTTGTGTGGGGAACAGGACAGCTGGTTTTGCCTTTCTCCACAGCAGGCCGACTGGAAGAGAAGTGGGCACGCAGGTGGCACCGGGAGCTGCGGGGGGTCAGGGGTCACACAGGGCAGTGATAACGGGGCAGGAAGAAGAGCCAGAGGAGAAGGGAGGGTCGCCTGCAGTCGGAACGGCCGGCCGCTTACGCCCGCTGAGTGCAGCCAGGAGCCAGGCACCGAGCTCAGAGCTCCCCGTGGGTCACCGCAGGGAAACCCCATGTCACCGGTGAAGAAACACTGGCTTAGAAAGGTCTGGCCGATCACCCAAGGGACCAGCAAGCAAGGAGCAGAGCTGGGACTGGGGGCCTCGCAGAGGCAAAGAGAAAATGCAGAGGGATGGGATGGACGCCAAAGGAGAAAACCGGTCCACGAGGAAAGGGGGAGGGCACTTCCCAAACCGCAGGGAGTCCAGGAAGGGGGCATGCGGGAAAGGGCCGTTGGACTTGGTAACCAGGGCACGGGGGCACTGAAAGCCTGGCCGGGGGGCCGGAAGAGTACACTGAGGCAGCGTGTCTCTGTGAACCCCATTCTACAAACAATGCTTCTGAAAACATACTTTTAAAAACACTTCATCCAGTTTATGGGCTATGAAGCAGTTGCTAACAGAGGAAGTAAAAACGGCTGAAGTGAAGAACAAAGGAGACAGCAGAGATTTGGCTTAAAAAGCTGGGACTGAAGGAAATCAGGTGAAGAAGGAAGAAAGGAGCCTCAGATTCTCAGCCACTATGAACAAGAAGTAACTGCTGGCTGTATTTTCGAGAGCTTTCCAGAAATTGGGAAACGCTTTTGTTACATTCCATTTGGTTTGAGTCACTGTGAACGCCAGCAAAGCCACATGGGGTTTAGGGGCCAGATGTGAATCAGACATGAGTCACGGGGCAGAGCCTGCGTGGGACATCCTGTCCAAGCCTGTCCCGCCCACACAAAATAGTGGGCACTGGACAAACGGAACCATACATGACTCAGACGAGGGCTCCCCCTGCTGCCTGTGGGTCCCAGGAGCCCCGGGTCGGGCGTTTACACCTCCCCAGGGGAACCCCAAGTGTACGCAGCTATGGCGTTCCCCTCACCCACCCGCAGTTCCCCCTCACCCACCTTTATCCTCTGCCACCCGTGCCTTTTCAAGGGAATGACATAATCTCAGACAATATGTGGCCAAAGTATATAATTCACTTTTAACTCTCACCTTCAAAATTATCCATTCTTCCAGCTCTGTAATTTTATTGACTTTTTTTTGTTTGCTCTAAATAAAAAAGTTCTTTACCTTCAAAGGTTAGCTATGCCAAAATAAAATAAAATGGATAAAATTAAACCAAAAAAAAGTGAAGAGTTGCTTTTCTAGACAGAATTGAAAGACACAGGAAAATAATACAGAAATAACAACCTCAGATTTAAAGATGCGGACACATTCGCCTGCCTGGAACATTTTAAATTGATGCTTTCCTGAAGGCACAGGGCAGAACTAAGCCCTCTTCAAGTGCGTCTTTCAGTGCAATGAAAAGACCACCCACACCCCCTCCACACAACACGAGCAGGAGTCAGACACCATAAAGAACCATTATAGACAGCAACGGTTCAGTGTGGGCTTTTGTTTCGCAAAAAGCCTCTGCAGGGCCCACCGGGCGGAGCTCTGCCCTGTCCCACTCCAGCCAGAGCACAGGCCCACTAACACGTCCTGTGATAATGGGTCCCACTGATGAGCAAAGAAAAAGTCGAAAATTACTGTACGAAGG